AAAAATCGCTTATAATACTGACCAACAACGGTTTTAATTAAGTAATTTAATCAAAATACTAATGTTTTTCATCATATTTACACATAAAAAATTTGTCCTACTGTTTATTTACTTTAGTAGGTAAAGAAATGTGAAATGGTATATAAGATTTTTTGTAAAAATGTGTGAATGTTATATAATTTCATTCTTTTTACTGTAAAAATATGTATGGGTATGATAAAAGCCGGTGTGATCCGTAATTACCAAAATTCCGCTTTTTTCAAGAGCTTTTGTAGAGTTTATTAGAAAACCCAGGAGGGGTAAAATTTATTAGCTTTCCGTCTCTTCGCGACCTACACCCGTTTGAAGTGATACACTTCTGGAAAGGAAAGATTCGCCAAAAAACTTGGTAAAGTGATTTTTTTTCTTAGAGTACAAAATTATCTATTAATTGATGTATAACTTATAAATATTCAAACCACCGTTTTAAAGGTATATTTGTATTTTTAACCGCTTTGTCTTGCATAATATTTGTGACGAAAGATACGCCCAGCGACAATTTCAAACACATCGCTACATCGTCGTGATAGCTGAGTGGTTAGAGGTTATCGCTGATATGCGTCATACTGCAGGTTCGAGTCCAGCTAGAAGCAAATTAATTTTTTTATTCGGTAATTTTTGGTGAACCAGAAAGATTCACCACTCCGTGCAGTTCGTGGATTTCGTTACTCTCTGGAACATGAGGACAAGAGATCAGTAGGGCAATTCTCTATCGTATTATAACGATTTTCGGATCGCTATAATGACTTAACGATAGTTTTAACGATTTTGCTATTCTCTAAGCACAGTATAACGATTTTCGGATCGCAAATTAGACTTAACGATATTTTTAACGATAATCGCTATTCTCTAAAATGGTATAACGATTTTCGGATCGCAAAGAAGACTTAACGATATTTTTAACGATATTCGCTATTCTCTAAGACTAGTATAACGATTTTCGGATCGCAAAGAAGACTTTGCGATAATTCTAACGATTTTAATATTCGGTGTACTTGTTATAACGATATTCGCTCTCGCTATTGTCGTAAACTACTCGAAAAATCGCTAACTAAGCGACGAATATTTTTAAGTTGTTAGCGATATCGACAAAATTTTGTTATTTCATTTAAGAGAGTAAAGTGTCCGGGAAATTGTCAAAGTTATACAAAAATAAAAATAAAAAAATAAAAGAAATGGTTTTGAATATTTGGCATACGTTTTATCACAATATGACGAGGTATCCTAATCTTCATCATTGAATAGAAGTTTGCGTCGAGAAGCGGAAGATCCTTTTCATTTGGATGCTACCGAGTTTCGCCGGATTTAGTTGAAGAAATCGTTTCTGAACTAGATTGTCAACTAAAAGGAAGAAGAATAACAGCATTGTCTACGGAGAAACAGGTAATAATATATATTTTCAATATTTTTTTTAGTCTTAACGCTATTATAATGTTTAAAGGTTCTACCCGCCTCGCGATTTTTTGCAATGGGGATGTCCATGAGTCAGGTTTTCTGTTAGTTTTCCAAATTTTTGCTTCGTCATCGTCACCATATGTTGGAGGCACTATTGGAGCTATCGATTGCACATGAGTTAAAAATCATGAAGAAGCGTATATAAACCACCATGGATACCATTCCATCAATGTGCAAATGGTGAGAGTAAATTTGTTTCTGATTACTATTGTAGTAACAAAGTTAATTATATTTTCACATAGATATATGGTCCTTATCGCAAGATTATACTGGCAAATGCCAAGAGCGCGGCACAATTATTTTATTTGGAGCTCCCCTATAGAGCGAAGAGTCATGCAAGAAAGTGCAAACCATAACATGCTATTGAAAAACTTTGTAATGCATTGCTATTCTTTTAATTAAAATAATTTCAATAACAAATTTATTTGTTTTTGTCATTCCTCTTTGTGCTTTTTGTACATTTTGACGTTTCGTTGAGCTGTGGTGCCACCTTTCCTACATTTTAATAAAATGGAAATGTGCGTTGTCGATTATCGTAACAACTGTGTTAGAGAATCGCATAATCGTTAGCGCAAGCGACAAAATTCGTAACTTTGCGATCCGACAAATCGTGTCGATAAAAGTTACGGAATTGCACTGCAGATCACCTTTTAACTATTTTAAAGAGCATGCAAACCTTCAAAATTGCGGTGTTGCAAAGGTGGATCATGGGCTACCTGAGTGGTCGACAATCATCGGTGATTCTCCGAGGTGTAACGTCTAAACCCCGAAAAATTAAACAGGGGGTTCCGCAGGGTGGTGCCCTCTCCCCGCTACTGTTTAACTTTTACATCTCGAAACTCCCTCCACCCCCAGAAAGAGTTTCTCTAACCTCTTATGCCGCTGATTGATATTGATGACCTCTGTTCGAAAGTGAACGGCTACCTCGCTGATCTCTCCTACTTCTTCAGTGCAAGACAGCTACAAATTCAACCGACAAAATCCTCAGCTACCCTCTTCACCAGCTGGACGAAGGAGTACAGGACACAAAAATTCCGACGGTAAATAACCCAAAAATATTGGGCGTAACCCTAGACAGCCTGCACTCCTTCACTCCGCATACGACCGCGATTGCCGCAAAACTCCAGAGCCGCAACAAAATACTCAAAACGCTAGTCGGCAGAACTATTCAAACATAGCGGTGAAGACCTGACATGGTGAATGCATCAGCTACTTTGCAGAATATTGTTGAACGGAAGCATGCCCGACGATTTGAATTTAAGTGTGTTCTGCCCAATCCATAAAAAAGGGGACCCCACAGTCTGTACCAATTACCGTGGGATAAGCCTACTTAATACCGCCTATAAAGTCCTGTCGAGCGTATTGTGTGAAAGAGTGACTTGGGTCTGAAGTCACTGTTTAGTCATAACTTTGAAGTCGTAGATAATTTCGTCTATCTAGGAACCAGCACTAAGACCAATAATAACGTCAGCTTTGAAATCCAGTACACAATCACACTTGCCAACAGGTGCTAATTTGGAGTGAGTAGGCAATTGAAAAGTAAAGTCCTCTCCCGACGAACACAAACATAACTCTACAAGTCCTTCATTATCTTGTTGCAGCGAAGATACGCATCCGCCTCTGTGTATCGAAGAACGCCCGTCAACAAACACAAGGAAAATTCGACGTTGGAAAGCTGGAAGCACAACAGACTGCCGAACGATTTTCCGCTTAACTTGCACTCCTACTCTCTGGGAGCATTCATCAGCATATCGGTATACGGAAACTGTGGGACGGTATTACAAGCTCTCTACGTAAATCTGCAAACGAAACTTTTGGATTTCGTAAAGGTCGATAATTTCGTCTATCTAGGAACCAGCACTAACACCAATAATAACGACCAGCACTAAGACCAATAATAACGTCAACTTTGAAATCCAGTACACAATCACACTTGCCAACAGGTGCTAATTTGAACTGGGTAGACAATTGAAAATTAAAGTCCTCTCTCGAAGTCCTTCCGTCAACAAACACAAGGCAAGCTCGACGCTTGCGGAATGAGATAATCTGCAAACGAATCTTTTGGATTTCGCAAAGGTCGCAAAAACAGTTGGTACAATGAGGAATGCCGAGCCCCTGTCGCAAAGGAGAGAAAACAGACTGCCTACCTCGCAACCTTGCGATCGACCACAACACTTGCGGAATGAGATAGATACCGAGAGATGAAGAGCGGAGCAAGACGCATCTGCAGACCATAAAAGAAAGAGGGCGAGTGCGTGAGTATGAAGAGCTTGAGAAGCTGGCCGAAAAGGGTAACGCTCGAAAATTCGACGAAAAGATACGACGACTTACGGAAGGTTTCAAGACGGAGCAGACTCTTGCAGGACACAAAGAGGTGATCTAGTCACCGATGCCCAGAGTATATTGAATTTATGGAAGGAACACTTCTCAAACCTCCTGAATGGTAGTGAAAATGGAGGATCCGGAGATGGTGAATCTGAAACCCAAATCGATGACGATGAAAAAGACGTTCCATTACCTGACCTGAATGCATCAGCTACTTTGCAGAATATTGTTGGACGGAAGCATGCCCGAAGATTTGAATTTGAGTGTGTTCTGTCCAATCCATAAAAAAGGGGACCCCACAGTCTGCACCAATTATCGTGGGATAAGCCTACTTACTACCGCCTATAAAGTCCTGTCGAGCGCATTGTGTGAAAGACTGAAGCCCATCGTAAAAAAACTGATTGCGCCTTATCCGTGTATCTTCAGACCTGGCAGGTCAACCATTGACCAGATATTCACCATGCGACAAATCTTGGAAAATACCCGTGAAAAGAGGATCGACACCCACCAACTCTTCGTCGATTCTAAAACCGCCTTCGACAGACGAATAGGAGCTACCCTGACGCCGCTATGACTAATTTTGGTATCCCCGCAAAACTTATACGGCTGTGTAGGCTGTGTAAGCTGACGCTAGACAACACCAGAAGCGCGGTCAGAATCATGAGATCAAACAAACAGTCATCGCATTTGCGACTTGCCTCCGACGTCAGTGTTTAGTCATAACTTTGAAGTCGTAGATAATTTCGTCTATCTAGGAACCAGCACTAACACCAATAATAACGTCAGCTTTGAAATCCAGCACACAATCACACTTGCCAACAGGTGCTAATTTGGACTGGGTAGGCAATTGAAAAGTAAAGTCCTATCCCGAAACCTAACTTTATAAGTCCTTCCGTCAACAAACACAAAGAAAGTTCGACGTTGGAAAGCTGCATGCACAACAGACTGCCAAATGATTTTCCACTTAACTTGCACTCCTACTCTCTGAGAGCATTCATCAGCATATCGGTATACGGGAANATTCTAAAACCGCCTTCGACAGCACGAATAGGAGCTACGCTGACGCCGCTATGACTGAATTTGGTATTACCACAAAACTTATACGGCTGTGTAAGCTGACGCTAGACAACACCAGAAGCGCGGTCAGAATCGTGGCTTCAAACAAACAGTCATCGCATTCGTGACTTGGGTCTGACGTAACTGTTTAGTCATAACTTTGAAGTCGTAGATAATTTCGTCTATCTAGGAACCAACAGTAAGACCAATAATAACGTCAACTTTGAAATCCAGTACACAATCACACTTGCCAACAGGTGCTAATTTGGACTGGGTAGGCAATTGAAAAGTAAAGTCCTCTCCCGAAACCTAACTCTAAGAGTCCTTCCGTCAACAAACACAAGGAAAGTTCGACGTTGGAAAGCTGTAAGCACAACAGACTGCCGAGCGATTTTCCACTTGACTTGCACTCCTACTCTCTGTGAGCATTCATCAGCATATCGGTATACGGGAACTGTAGGACGGTATTACAAGCTCTCTACGTAAATCTGAAAACGATACTTTTGGATTTCGCAAAGGTCGCAAAAACAGTTAGTACAATGAGGACTGCCCTGTCGCAATGGAGAGAAAACAGACTGCCTACCTCGCAACCTTGCGATCGACCACAACACTTGCGGAATGAGATACCGAGAGATGAAGAGGGGAGCAAGACGCATTTGCAGACAAAAAAAAAAGAAAGAGGCCGAGTGCGTGAGTATGAACAGTTTGGGAGGCTAGTCGAAAAGGGTAACGCTCCAAAATTCGACGAAAGGATAAGGCGACTTACGGAAGGTTTCAAGACCGGACTGGTCAGACTCTTGCAGGACATCGATGCCAAAAGTATATTGAATTTATGGAAGGAACACTTTTCCAACCTCATGAATGGTAGTGAAAATGGAGGATCCGGAGATTTTGAACCCGAAACCCAAATCGATGACAATGAAATAGACGTTCCGTTACCTGACCATGAATCGCCCGCTTAAAAAACAACAAAGCGGCTGAAGCTGACGGCCTACCGGCAGAACTATTCAAACATGGCGGTGAAGACCTGACATGGTGAATGCATCAGCTACTTTGCAGAATATTGTTGGACGGAAGCATGTCCGAAGATTTGAATTTAAGTGTGTTCTGCCCAATCCATAAAAAAGGGGACCCCACAGTCTGCACCAATTACCTTGGGTTAAGCCTACTTAATACCGCCTATAAAGTCCTGTCGAGCGTATTGTGTGAAAGACTGTAGCCTTATCGTGTGTCTTCAGACCTGGCAGGTCAACCATTGACCAGATATTCACCATGCGATAAATCTTGGAAAAGACTCGTGAAAAGAGGATCGACACCCACCAACTTTTCGTCGATTCTAAAACCGCCTTCGACAGCACGAATAGGAGCTACGCTGACGCCGCTATAACTGAGTTTGGTATTACCACAAAACTTATACGGCTGTGTAAGCTGACGCTAGACAACACCAGAAGCGCGGTCAGAATCGTGGCATCAAAGAAACAGTCATCGCATTCGCGACTTGGCTCCGACGTCAAAAACCTAACTTTACAAGTCATTCGGTCAACAAACACAAGGAAAATTCGACGTTGGAAAGCTGCAAGCACAACAGACTGCCGAACGATTTTCCAAACGACTTGCACTCTTACTCTCTGAGAGCATTCATCAGCATATAGGTATACGGGAATGGTGGGACGGTATTACAAGCTCTCTACGTAAATCTGCAAACGAATCTTTTGGATTTCGCAAAGGTCGCAAAAACAGTTGGTACAATGAGGACTGCCGAGTCGCAATGGAGAGAAAACAGACTGTCTACCTCGCAACCTTGCGACCGACCACAACACTTGCGGAATGAGATAGATACCGAGAGATGAAGAGGGGAGCAAGACGCATTTGCAGACAAGAAAAAGAAAGAGGCCGAGTGCGTGAGTATGAACAGTTTGAGAGGCTAGCCGAAAAGGTGACCGCCCCAAAATTTGACGAAAAGATATGGCGACTTACGGAAGGTTGCAAGANGAATTTCTATTTAACCATTTCTTTGAACATATTGAAGCATATAAAAAATATTTAATTTAATGATAACTCCTATTGTTTAATCCATGTTTTTTTTTTGAAAGTCGTCCACGGAACAGAAAAGCAAAAAGTTTTATGATCTACAAACAAACTATGGTATTTGGGAGTACGTACGGATTTATTTTTTTTTTTTTTACAATCAAAAGCGCGGCCGAAGGCCTGCAACTTACGAAAGAGTTTCGCCTAGAAATACTGTGCAAGGCGAAGCCGCCAATTTACTCAAGAGTTTCGCCAACTTACGAATGAGTTTCGCCTAAAAATCCTGTGCAAAGCGAAGCCGGTGTTGGTCCGCGTAAGGGTTATAATCAAAAGCGCGGCCGAAGTGTATCTTCAGACCTGGCAGGTCAACCATTGACCAGATATTCACCATGCGACAAATCTGGGAAAAGATCCGTGAAAAGAGGATCGACACCCACCAACTCTTCGTCGATTCTAAAACCGCCTTCGACAGCACGAATAGGAGCTACGCTGACGCCGCTATGACTGAATTTGGTGTCCCCACAAAACTTATACGGCTGTGTAAATACGGCTGTGTAAGCTGACGCTAGACAACACCAGTAGCGCGGTCAGAATCGTGGCATCAAACAAACAGTCATCGCATTCGCGACTTGGCTCCGACGTCACTGTTTAGTCATAACTTTGAAGATTGTTGGACGGAAGCATGCCCGAAGATTTGAATTTAAGTGTGTTCTGCCCAATCCATAAAAAAGAAGACCCCACAGTCTGCACCAATTATCGTGGGATAAGCCTACTTAATACCGCCTATAAAATCCTGTCGAGCGTATTGTGTGAAAGACTGAAGCCCATCGTAAAAAAAAACTGATTGCACCTTATCCGTGTATCTTCAGACCTGGCAGGTCAACCGTTGACCAGATATTCACCATGCGACAAATCATGGAAAAGATCCGTGAAAAGAGGATCGACACCCACCAACTCTTCGTCGATTCTAAAACCGCCTTCGACAGCACGAATAGGAGCTACGCTGACGCCGCTATGACTGAATTTGGTATCCCCACAAAACTTATATGGCTGTGTAAGCTGACGCTAGACAACACCAGAAGCACGGTCAGAACCAAGGCATCAAACAGTCATCGCATTCGCGACTTGGCTCCGACGTCATTGTCTAGTCATAACTTTGAAGTGGTAGATAATTTCGTCTATCTAGGAACCAGCACTAACACCAATAACACCGTCAGCTTTGAAATCCAGTACACAATCACACTTGCCAACAGGTGCTAATTTGGACTGGGTAGGCAATTGAAAAGTAAAGTCCTCTCCCCAAACCTAACTCTACAAGTCCTTCCGTCAACAAACACAAGGAAAGTTCGACGTTGGACAGCTGGAAGCACAACAGACTGCCGAACGATTTTCCACTTGACTTGCACTCCTACTCTCTGAGAGCATTCATCAGCATATCGGTATACGGGAACTGTGGGACGGTATTACAAGCTCTCTACGTAAATCTGCAAACGAAACTTTTGGANTTCGACGTTGGAAAGCTGGAAGCACAACAGACTGCCGAACGATTTTCCGCTTAACTTGCACTCCTACTCTCTGGGAGCATTCATCAGCATATCGGTATACGGGAACTGTGGGACGGTATTACAAGCTCTCTAAGTAAATCTGCAAACGAAAATTTTGGATTTCGTAAAGGTCGCAAAAACAGTTAGTACAATGAGGGCTGCCCTGTCGCAATGGAGAGAAAACAGACTGCCTACCTCGCAACCTTGCGATCGACCACAACACTTGCGGAATGAGATACCGAGAGATGAAGAGGTGGGACGGTATTACAAGCTCTCTACGTAAATCTGCAAACGAAACTTTTGGATTTCATAAAGGTCGAAAAAACAGTTAGTACAATGAGGACTGCCGGGCCGAAAACGGTAACGCTCGAAAATTCGACGAAAAGATACGACGACTTACGGAAGGTTTCAAGACCGGAGCAGACTATTGCAGGACACAAAGAGGTGATCTAGGTGGTCAGAATCGTGGCATCAAACAAACAGTCATCGCATTCGCGACTTGGCTCCGACGTCAAAAACCTAACTTTACAAGTCCTTCCGTCAACAAACACAAGGAAAGTTCGACGTTGGAAAGCTGCAAGCAGAACAGACTGTCGAACGATTTTCCACTTGACTTGCACTCCTACTCTCTAAAAGCATTCATCTGTATATCGGTATACGGGAACTGTGGGACGGTATTACAAGCTCTCTACGTATATCTGCAAACGAATCTTTTGGATTTCGCAAAGGTCGCAAAAACAGTTAGTACAATGAGGACTACCCTGTCGCAAAGGAGAGAAAACAGACTGCCTACCTCGCAACCTTGCGATCGACCACAACACTTGCGGAATGAGATAGATACCGAGAGATGAAGAGGGGAGCAAGACGCATCTGCAGACCAAAAAAGAAAGAGGGCGAGTGCGTGAGTATGAAGAGCTTGAGAAGCTGGCCGAAAAGGGTAACGCTCGAAAATTCGACGAAAAGATACGACGACTTACGGAAGGTTTCAAGACCGGAGCAGACTCTCGCAGGACACAAAGAGGTGATCTAGTCACCGATGCCCAGAGTATATTGAATTTATGGAAGGAACACTTCTCCAACCTCCTGAATGGTAGTGAAAATGGAGAATTCGGAGATGGTGAATCCGAAACCCAAATCGATGACGATGAAAAAGACGTTCCATTACCTGTCCATGAATCGTCCGTTTAAAAATACAAAGCGGCTGAAGCTGAAGGCCTACCGGCAGAACTATTCAAACATGGCGCTGCGGACCTGACATGGTGAAAGCATCAGCTACTTTGCAAAATATTGTTGGACGGAAGCATGCCCGAAGATTTCAATTTAAGTGTGTTAAGACCAATAATAACGTCAGCTTTGAAATCCAGTACACAATCACACTTGCCAACAGGTGCTAATTTGAACTGGGTAGGCAATTGAAAATTAAAGTCCTCTCTCGAAACCTAACTCTGCAAGTCCTTCCGTCAACAAACACAAGGAAAATTCGACGTTGGAAAGCTGCAAGCACAATAGACTGCCGAGCGATTTTCCACTTGACTTGCACTCCTACTCTCTGAGAGAATTCATCTGCATATCGGTATACGGGAACTGTGCGACGGTATTACAAGCTCTCTACGTAAATCTGCAAACGAAACTTTTGGATTTCATAAATGTCGAAAAAACAGTTAGTACAATGAGGACTGCCGAGAGAAAACAGACTACCTACCTCGCAACCTTGCGATCGACCACAACACTGTATTACAAGCTCTCTGCGTAAATCTGCAAACGAAACTTTTGGATTTCATAAAGGTCGAAAAAACAGTTAGTACAATGAGGACTGCCATGTCGAATTTAAGTGTGTTCTGCCCAATCCATAAAAAAGGGGACCCCACAGTCTGCACCAATTACCGTGGGTTAAGCCTACTTAATGGTTTCAAGACGGAGCAGACTCTTGCAGGACACAAAGAGGTGATCTAGTCACCGATGCCCAGAGTATATTGAATTTATGGAAGCAACGATGGTGAATCCGAAACCCAAATCGATGACGATGAAAAAGACGTTCCATTACCTGTCCATGAATCGCCCGCTTAAAAAACAACAAAGCGGCTGAAGCTGAAGGCCTACCGACAGAACTATTCAAACATGGCGCTGAAGACCTGACATGGAGAAAGCATCAGCTACTTTGCAGAATATTGTTGGACGGTGTGTTCTGCCCAATCCATAAAAAAGGGGACCCCACAGTCTGCACCAATTACCGTGGGATAGGCCCACTTAATACCGCCTATAAAGTCCTGTCGCGCGTATTGTGTGAAAGACTGAAGCCCATCGTAAACAAACTGATTGCACCTTATCCGTGTATCTTCGGACCTGACAGGTCAAGGCTGTGTAAGCTGACGCTAGACAACACCAGAAGCGCGGTCAGAATCGTGGCATTCGTGACTTGGGTCTGACGTCACTGTTTAGTCATAACTTTGAAGTCGTAGATAATTTCGTCTATCTAGGAACCAGCACTAAGACCAATAATAACGTCAGCTTTGAAATCCAGTACACAATCACACTTGCCAACAGGTGCTAATTTGAACTGGGTAGGCAATTGAAAAGTAAGTCCTCTCCCGAAACATAACTCTGCAAGTCCTTCCGTCAACAAACACAAAGAAAGTTCGACGTTGGAAAGCTGCATGCACAACAGACTGCCAAATGATTTTCCACTGGACTTGCACTCCTACTCTCTAAGAGCATTCATCAGCATATCGGTATACGGAAACTGTGGGACGGTATTACAAGCTCTCTACGTAAATCTGCAAACGAAAATTTTGGATTTCGTAAAGGTCGCAAAAACAGTTAATACAATGAGGACTGCCCTGTCGCAATGGAGAGAAAACAGACTGCCTACCTCGCAACCTTGCGATCGACCACAACACTTGCGGAATGAGATAGATACCGAGAGATGAAGAGGGGAGCAAGACGCATCTGCAGACAAAAAAAGAAAGAGGGCGAGTGCGTGAGTATGAAGAGCTTGAGAAGCTGGCCGAAAAGGGTAACGCTCGAAAATTCGACGAAAAGATACGACGACTTACGGAAGGTTTCAAGACCGGAGCAGACTCTTGCAGGACACAAAGAGGTGATCTAGTCACCGATGCCCAGAGTATATTGAATTTATGGAAGGAACACTTCTCCAACATCCTGAATCGTAGTGAAAATGGAGGATCCGGAGATGGTGAACCCGAAACCCAAATCGATGACGATGAAAAAGACGTTCCATTACCTGTCCATGAATCGCCCGCTTAAAAATACAAAGCGGCTGAAGCTGACGGCCTACCGGCAGAACTATTCAAACATGGCGCTGAGGACCTGACATGGAGAATGCATCAGCTACTTTGCAGAATATTGTTGGACGGTGTGTTCTGCCCAATCCATAAAAAAGAAGACCCCACAGTCTGCACCAATTATCGTGGGATAAGCCTACTTAATACCGCCTATAAAATCCTGTCGAGCGTATTGTGTGAAAGACTGAAGCCCATCGTAAAAAAACTGATTGCACCTTATCCGTGTATCTTCAGACCTGGCAGGTCAACCATTGACCAGATATTCACCATGCGACAAATCATGGAAAAGATCCGTGAAAAGAGGATCGACACCCACCAACTCTTCGTCGATTCTAAAGCCGCCTTCGACAGCACGAATAGGAGCTACGCTGACGCCGCTATGACTGAATTTGGTGTCCCCACAAAACTTATACGGCTGTGTAAGCTGACGCTAGACAACACCAGAAGCGCGGTCAGAATCGTGGCATCAAACGAACAGTCATAGCATTCGCGACTTGGCTCCGACGTCACTGTTTAGTCATAACTTTGAAGTCGTAGATAATTTCGTCTATCTATGAACCAGCACTAACACCAATAATAACGTAACAGTCATCGCATTCGCGACTTGGCTCCGACGTCAAAAACCTAACTTTACAAGTCATTCGGTCAACAAACACAAGGAAAGTTCGACGTTGGAAAGCTGCAAGCAGAACAGACTGTCGAACGATTTTCCACTTGACTTGCACTCCTACTCTCTAAAAGCATTCATCTGTATATCGGTATACGGGAACTGTGGGACGGTATTACAAGCTCTCTACGTAAATCTGCAAACGAAAATTTTGGATTTCGTAAAGGTCGCAAAAACAGTTAGTACAATGAGGACTGCCCTGTCGCAATGGAAAGAAAACAGACTGCCTACATCGCAACCTTGCGATCGACCACAACACTTACAAAAAGAAGTGGTAACTTTGATAGCCACATTTGAGAATACTTGTATTTTAGTTTGGTATCTAATACTTTTGGCCAAAGTTGTATATAAAAGAAATATACTTTAAAGCATAAATTTAATTTGTATATCTGCCGCTATTAACTGACATTCATGCTTTTGGGAAATTTCTTTCAATTTTAGTACAGAATATTGACCAAAGTAGGAAAGTGAACGTGATCCGCCGCGTTTTCCAGAAGTTTGAATGTAAATTCTTATAGGTACTCTAATTTTAATATATCATAAGAAACAGCTAAAAAGGGGTGTTAATTACCCGAATTTACCCGCGGTAAGGCATGCCTGTCGTAAAAGGCCACTAAACTCCAATAGCTCCCGCAAAAGTCGGGTCTTTATACCTGAGCGACCCTGCATTTTTATCCAGCCAAGGACGGCCACTCCCACAACATTTCGTAAAAACAACTTTGGGGAATATTTTTGCGGCTACAACAGCATCAGCAATGCTGAAATATTTTAAGAGCGAAAAATTCGTTTTTTCTCAGTTTTGCAATTTTGGTATAACCGGAATCACAATTCCGCAATTTACAAGGTTTGCATGCTCTTTAAAACAGTTAAAAGGTGATCTGATCTCTTTAGAATTGGTTTTATAGTGTTTTGTGCACACATTCGTATATGTATAATATGTATATATTACAAGTACGACTTTTTACCTATTGCCTCTTTGAATTTACAGAAAAGCTACTGGGATAGCCGAGTGGCTAGCATTGCGCACTGCCATTCGGAAGGGCAGACTTCGTGTTCTGCTCCGACCAACATCTAAAAAATTGTAAAGAAATTTAATTTAAATAAATATAGTTTTAACAAGCTGGAGGCACGTGACACATAAATGAATGCGGTCTCTTGAATTCATGATTTCATTAGTTGTGGCAAATTTTGTAACCTGCAATTGTAAACAAAAATCAGCTGTTTGAGTTAACTCACTTTCGGTGGAAACGTTTGACATATCATTCACTTAACAGAGGCCTTAAATGCATTTAACTGCTTGGTGGAAATAGGCTATTACGAAGGAGTTTCGCCTAAAAATACTCTGCAAAGCGAAGCCGGTGTATGTCCGGCTAAGGGTTACAATCAAAACCGCGGCCGAAGGCCCCCAACTTACGGAGTTTCGCCTAAAAATTCTATGTAAGGCAAAGCCGGCGTTGGTCCGGCTAAGGGTTACAATCCGTCAAATATATATATATATAGTATAAAAATTTTATTCTAGTTGTTTTATTTTAGAATTTCTTTTTTATATGTGGCAACATCAAAATTCACAGTAATGACACTATGTACAAAATAATAGGGTAAAAATTTAATTTTTTTGCTATTTCAAATGTAAATATCTTGAAAACTATAGGTCTACGGTAGGTTTGGTTTTCGGTTTCTAAGAGAGGGTGGAGCCCCCTACCACCCCTTATATTTCATTTTTCCCAAAACTTGGAACCATAAAGGGAAAGAGTCCCAAAATGAAGTGAGGACACAGGGTAAACGCACTTATATTGCAATGACTGAAAAATTGCTAAATTTATTTAAATAAAATCGGTAAGAACGCAATTATTAATTTTCACTACTTAAATTTTTGTGGTCTGTAAGCTTTTTTGGCTTTTATACGAGTTTTTTTTGGCGTAATACGGCTCGCACGTCAATTATGATGAAGCGTTCTTATCGACTCCCTCTTTGATATGTTTATATCTGGCTTGCACATTTATGTAGATATTCAAAAATACGTGGTCATAGTGCATTAGGGCTTACCTTTAATGTAAGCAAACAACTCAACTCCTTCAGTACAGCACAATACCGAAAAACAATCTACCACAATTTATAAATTTTTTTGATGTCTCAAAATACAAAATTTTTAATATATATCTACATGTAGCATTCTATTCGTTCAGTATATTCTCCATTTGAGAAGAAAAAACTAAAATTTTAATCACTATCACTATTCCTTTAATATTGTATAATAATTATTTTTTCCCCGCAATCTCCTTTAATTTTCGTAATTAATATTCCTCATGCATTGTTGCTGACACTATTTTTGTGATATTATTTTATACATATCGGCGTATCTTTGACTCCATGAATCGCTACTATGCTGTATGAAAATATATAGCGGAGGGCGAAATCTAGAGCTGTAGAAATCCATATGTATTCGTTACTGAGTACAAGTTGCGCATTACCGAGTAACGAAAACTCAACTATCACTTACTATCGATAAACTGAATTTTCTTGTTGTTTTTAGGCTGTTTAGTAAATCACTGCTCTCCTTAATTTGGAGCGTTGAGCGCTAAAGAACTGTTAAAGATCCTCATGGCCATACAATTTGGCCAGGGGCATCGCAGAAAAGCGCGGCGTCAGCGTTGAGCATATGCAATTTTCGATTTGTACAGCGGGTTATATGATGAAGTTAGATGTGAAAGATAAAAGCGCGAAAGAATGCAAGAAAACTGACAAAGAGGAATAGGCGAATGGAGAAATACTTGGCAAATAAATAGTATTTTGCAAATAAAATGATATATAATATATGAACTGAAAATTTAATTCAACTGGTGCAGGCACAATTTGTCCACTAAGTAAGTTGGACAGTATCTTGTTTGAAATAAATGCAATTAATTTATTAAATGTTCCAAAAATAAAACGAACTTGAAAAGAAAGAGAAAACAACAAAACGTCAGCGCTCTTATTTTGGGATAGAGCGCGTTGTTACTTATTGGCCGAACGCTCCTGTTTGGGAATGTCAGTCAGTTTAGCAGTATAGTAATAATGCTAGTTTACACCAACAAAGAAATTGGTTGTTATAGCGGTTCACTAGCCCCGCTTAGGGGCAGGTTCAATAGAGAACGTATTGCTTCGACAGGATTTCAACAGAGGCAGAGGGGGGTTAGATATGTCAGCTTGAGGGGCATGTAAAAAGGTGGGTAGTGTCGTGCAAAGACTCTCCGCATGTTGGGCATCCAGTATCCAGACCTTAGTTGAGTCAGTGTCACGCGGGTCTATCGATGTAGCTCGAGCTCGTTGTTTGCAAAAGGTGCTGCTTTATCTCCGAGCACTCCATTCAAGGGAGAGAAGTTTTTGAAGGTGTTGACTGACCCCTATTGAATGGCGTTCAATGCTTGTCTGTACGCCGTCCTGTCCAGTTGTTGTTGTACATGTTCCTGGATGGTGTCCTTCATTGCAAGTACTCCCTTTCCGATCTGCCCAGGTGGAGGTTCAGCATCTATAACGTGCTTGTTTGGGGGTTCCCTGCGGTAGCATCCCAATAAGAATTAATTGTCCAACAAAGCATTATGCTCCTTAACTCGTAACATAGACGCCTCGCTGCGCAAGTGATGCTTCGGCGATATCAGGAGGTTTCCTGTCGCGGTCCTGAGGGCAATCTTGTTCGCAATGGAGTTGACCCGCTTTTTATCCGGCAAGGCCTTTCACCCTTTCGTCGATGTAACCTCGTTTAGGTCAACAGGTAACATTAATCTTAGTGCGCCAACTGAGCAACACTTCTCAGCTGGGTTGATCCAAACTCTTCTCGTCCGGGCTGGTGTCGATACCAACCCCGGTCGGACGGATTCTGCTGAGTGTACCATAAAAAACTCCACCACAAGTTATGTGACCCATTGCTGCCAACGCCCAAATGCACCATCAGCCTTAACATTCCTACCCACAACCAGCGCCTACTTCTCCTCCCGTGCTTGGGCTTCTAAGCAGCTCCTGGTCCCCTGCACAGTCTGTTCCCTGTGTGAGGCTATAGTACGTCGGAGCATGATCTCGGTTAAATGCAAATTTTGCTCTGGCTGGTGTCATTTTATCGGACGTGCTCTGGCATGTGCACCACCCGTGAGTGGATTGATACTTATGTTGCCCCGTGCTGTAGGAGTCTGTTCTCGCCTGTATCTTCAGCTACAACGCCAACCAACACAATGAAATATGTAGAAGTGACTGCTGTGTAATGTCAGGCTCAGTTTAAATGGAACACAACTGCTCAAATTTTACTGCAATGAACTTTGCGAAAAGATCATCGAGATAATCAACTTAACGATCCGGGAGCACCAATAAGTTGCTGTGATCTAGAAAACGAACTCGGATCTTCTGAGTCGGACGGGATGCAAAATTATTACACAACCCCGATGGCGACATCGACCGCAGGGAAACGAAACGATAATATCAGGGCATAACTACATGTTGCACAGTTGGATAAAGCTCTGACATATTCGGAGGCGAAATTCGTTTGGTTTTGGGCGACTTTAACGCACTTGCGGAGAGGTATGGAGCTTGTGGAATAGATAGACGATTCAACATTATGCACCATGAGCGACTTGTTGATAATTTCCAAAGCTCGTCAGATATAACAATTACGTGTGCCGGTCTGATAAACAGTATAGCCTGGCGATCTATACTGATATTAGCATCGGACCACTTACCCATACTTATCTCGATTGTTTTTGTTTCCGACCATAAAACATTCGTTAACTTAAAAAAAGCACATTGGCCAGATTCATGGAGTTTTCCATTCACATCAGACGCCACAGTCGGCGAACGTTTATTCCGCCAAAATGTAGTGACCGCTGCCGCCTGTTTCATCCCCTCATGCAGAATTGCGGAAATCTGCCCTAATTTCCTACCGGAACAGTCGGTGCTAGCATTAAAACCCGACTGCATTCGCAACGCCGATGCCGGAAATCACCTCATCAATAATCTCAAGCAGGAGATTCGGCGAACAGCCAACATTAATAAGCGGAAAAAGTAGGAGGAGCCCATAAATTACTGGGCAGGCGAAAGACCAGAAATCCATCCTCCCGACGGAATAAGCATGCTGCGCAGAAGACATGTAGGACCAGGAGAGCAGACTTATTTACTAAAGTCCTCAACTTGTCTTCGTTCATCCTAAAAATATCCGATGTCTGGAAACTGTGCGGGGTGGTCCCACTACTCAAACCGAGAAAACAAGTGATCAAAGGAGGGTTGGAGCCAGTAAGATTAGTAGCAGAAATTATTTTACTCGTGCCCTACGAGCTAAGTCTCATGGTATAGTCTAGGAACTTTATTGTGAGTAGTATAAAGATGGCCACCATAGTTTTAAGACAAGGCTCTCTGTGATCGCCGTTTTTGAAAACCTAAAACGGTTGGATCGCTTTTTCTGGTTTGACCGCCGAGAAGAAAAGACATATTTATTAAAACCATCGCAATCCTCCAGGAGAGCCCTATTGATCGATATATCTCCTTTTAACATCCAGCAGCACATCAGTACCACAACAGTGCACAGTAACACAACAGCACTTAATGACATACACCCTCAGATAGTTAAAGGACTCAACTAAAAACTAAACAAGGGGCTCCTTTCACTATTGTTTAATTTCTAAATTTCGAAACGGAACGCTGATTGCGCGGTATTAGCGTCAGTCCAGGATATTGTTGACCTATGTCCGTAAGTAAACAGCTATCTCGATGACCTTTTCCCCATCTTTACTGCAGGACAATTACAAATACAACTAGTTTAAACGCGATTTGAAAATAGATTGCCTCTAATTTTTGACTACAAACAACAGAAAGTTACTGGGAGTCTCATTCGACATCCTTCATTCCGCACCAACATAACCATAACCAAAGACCTGGAACCACGTTCGATTTTTTCAAAATATAGCAAATACTTTCTTTACGGGAAAGACGTCATCGAAAGTTTTACAAAAATAAAATTAATGGGATATAAGCGTAGGTCTTGCGTAGGCATGTTCACTTTGCATTTTTTTATTCTACGGCTACGGATTATGTAATCTTGCGTAAAACCTTTCCTTCGGAAACTCCTAATACCGACTTTTCAAAAGTTGGCATCTTCCACGCTTCTGCGCCATGATGTCCACGTAGGACGGATATGATGAGAAATTTGCAAAGTTTGGTAAGTGTCCTCAAGAGACGTCTTTCTTAACAAACGCGTAGTCAGTCCAAAGTAGCACCTGTTTGGTTATTCTGCGTTGGATTTCAAAGCTAACATTATTGTTGTTGTTGATGGTGGTCCTTACGAAACGAAACTAAAGTAAACTGTTACCTCGCCTCTCTGTACCACTTCTTCACTGAAGGTTGATGACGTAAAAATTTCAAATGCCCCATGATACCGAAAATTACAATCGACAAACTGCACTCCTTCACTCCGCATACGACCGCAAGCAGCAAAACTCCAGAGTCGAAACAAAATATTCAAAGCTAGCCGGAAGCACCTTATATAATATATAATATTTAATATAAAATATATTGTTACGATTTTGCTAAATCGACCTCGATGATTTTCTGAATCCTTCGAATACGATCTCTGGATTGTTAAATAAAACTCGCCAACTTAATTTGCAGTTTCTTTCGTTACAAAGAATTTATCTAATGTCCTTTATTTACTCAGTAATTCACAATTCAATTACAATGCACTTTACTATTTACAATCACTAGCATCAACTTTCACAATTTACTCTACTTAAATGTAATTCCCAACGCGTTTACTTTACGACTTTACCGATGTTAGCGCCAACGAGCTCACTTTGTAACTAACTTCTTGCCAGCTGAGTGTCGCCCTATATAGCAGTCGGCTGCTCGCAGACGAAAGCGTAGAAGCATCGGCAAAGAACGTATATGAATAAGAAGCGACAAGACTCATACGGTCTTTGTGCAAATGCGGTAGGGCCGTTTTCAGGGTTTCGTGTCCTCTTCACACCATTTTTCGTCGACCAATATGAATAGATGGGGAAATTTAAGCTCAATTCGCTTTGAATGTTTGCTTTTGGCGGCGATGAAAACAAATTGCAAAATATGAAGGGGTAGAAATGTAGCTACTTAAGCTAATATATTATTAATTTTTTTTTTAATTTTTCTCAATTCAAAGCAAGTTTTTAAAAAATAATTTAATGTGTATATGAACATATGTATGCTGTCCTGTCCTCAATCAACATATTCATGTACACAAATATGCACCTCCAAAATAGCAAAACTGTCGTCGGCAATTTGCTTTTCAAAAGTTTTTGTACTTTGCAATATATCTGCTTTTATTCATTAAGATTAATAATAGATTCAAAACAAAGATATCAAAAACGTATGCTTCTTCTTGGTGTACGAGTAAACGTTCGAAAGAATATCAGAAAGCTTATAACAATGAGAAGGTGAAAATTCGTTGCGATAAATGATGTTTTGTA